AAAAAAACGGTATCTGTCTCCATCTTCCACTTCAGGGCACTCAACAAGAGTCAGGAAATTTATGTTACTAAACACTTGAAAACATCTTTAAATGTTTGTGTGACGTGTTCTTTTCTGAAATTCTTCCCATATCTGGCCATATCTCTACTTCCCTCCTGACACCCAAGCCTTTAGCCATTCTATGTTCCTGTATCTTAGAACATGCAGTGTTTGCACATTTCCTTTGTTAAACAACCTCCCCTCCTCCACTTCTCATCAACTTCTGCCCAGTCTCTGAAGATTCTTCACAGGAGTCAATGCACCAGTAAAACTTCACCCAAATGCTATTCCCTGCCCTTTGAATTCTGTGCGGGTTTTAAGGCTTGCCTGCAGCATAGCATTCACCCTAGGCTAGAGGTTGCCAAGGTTCCTTCCAGCTCAAAGAATCTAGCTCTTTGAACATGTTGTTCCAGACTTGAAGAGTGAAGAGAAACAGTAGCCATCAGCAATAACATCTTCATCAGGCTCTACAGGAGGGTGACTGAATGAAAGAATGGGACCTGGGGGGATCTGCAGTTGATCCTTGAACAACACGGGGTTTCGGGGCGCCGACCCCCGGTGCAGCCAAAAATCCACGTATTACTTTCGCCTCCCCCAAAACTTAACTACTAATAGCCTACTGTTGACTGATAATAACGACAGTCGATTAGCACATACTTTGTATATGTATTCAGTACTGTGTTCTCACAGTAAAGCAAGCTAGAGAAAAGAAAATGTTAAGACAGTCATAAGGAAAATACACGTACAGCACTGTATGGTATTAAAAAAAAACCCCAGGCGTAAAAGGACATGTGCTATTCAAACCCATGTTCAAGAGACAACTGTATGTTGCTTCAAATTAGGTCAGAAGCTACAATGTCAGCTAATTAGTAAAAGACAGCTGAGACTGTGGGGCTTGATTGGAGCTGGAGACTTGCAGCTTTGGGGCTGGGTAGGAAGGGACTAAGCTCTGCGGCTGCCTGAGAACAGATCTGTGTGTGTGCACTGGCCATGCGGGTTTGGAAGGAAAGGATTAAAAAAAAAAAAAAACAACTCTAGGCTAAATACAGAAACTAATATTTATGGAGTACTTTCTCTGGTGCCAGAGACTCTATACTAAACACCATGTATCCATTAATCTTATTTAATCCTCATTTTAACTCTCTGCAGAGAGATTAAGTGGTGTGCCCAAGATTTTACCACTAGTAAGTGATAGAACAGGGGGGTCTCATTTCCGGTTCCATTTGACTCCAAAGTCCATACTCTTGATCACTGGGCTCTACTGTGCCCTGTAAAAGAATTGCCCATATCATTTTACGCTGTCTCTTGGTTCCAAGAACCTCAACCAGCCCAAACTGACAGCTTCCTTTCGCATGATTTTTTAGGTTATCTGAGAAGAAGCATCAACAGCGTTCCCCAGTAACCTGGTCCAGGGTCTCTAATGTCTTTAGCCAGGGTACTCTTCTCTGTATTTAATCTGAGACCTCCCTTCTCTTGTTTAATCATTAGTAGATGAGCTTAGGGCTCCATTTATACTTATAATTTCAGTGGAAGGAGGAAGATGCAGAAACTACTGCAGTCTAAATATTCTGGGACATCTAGGGGCGCCTGGGTGGCTCACTCTGTTAAGTGATGGACTCTCAGTTTCAGCTCAGGTCATGATCTCAGGGTCCTGGGATGGAGGCCCCCTTCTCCCCTGTGCTCCATGCTCTTGCAGAGTCTGCTTGAGATTCTTCCCCCCTGCCTCTTCCTTCCCCCCTGCCCCTCCTCCCACTCGTGTGCTCACGCATGCGCGTTTTCTCTCTCTCTAATAAATAAATAAAATCTTTAAATATTCTGGGGCATCCGAATCTTGTCAAGTTTCCATCACAGTGTGGTCTAGAACCATATAAAGGAGGCTGATGAAAGGACACAATGAGTCAAAAAGAAAATGTGCATTAAGGAGATTGGGAAATGGGTTCATCCTCATTAAGGTATAAGTGTAGTAGACCACAGGATGTATTGTTACATGAAGCTATAGTCTTGCCAAGGAAAATGGAAGGAACTAAGCTACAGGACATGGGAATCATAGCAATGTTATGGTGAAGTTTTGCAATAGTCTTCTTCCCTTGGTCACTTTGTCTAAATAAACTAAAACCATGCCAAATATATTCAGCACCTGCTGGGAACTCATTTCTTCATCTTCTCTTCTTCCTTCTCTGTAGTGCATGTCATTGTATTACGGGGAAATCCTTGCTTTCAAAAACAGTGCTGTGAGAACCCAGAATACAGGTCCTCCTTGCTCAAGAGCTTGACCTCAGTCCTCAGAGTTGCCACCCAAAATGACTCAGACCAGTGAGTGGGTGAGTGGGAGGTTTTAAAGCTGCACTCCAAGAGCTAGTACCAGGGGGAGCACACAATGAGACTACATCACTAACTTAGCAACAGTTTGTCAGTTCTTTCTTTTAATCTCCCCAATGTCTTCAACCAGATGTAAGAAATGAGACTCAGAACAAGTACATTTTTATAGAGACAAGAGCAGAGGGAAACAACCAACACATAGAGTGTTAACCAAGACAAGGCTGAGGAAAACATAGGGGTACATCCGGCGGTCAAGGTGAGCTGGATCAGAACACCTAAGCGAACGAGAAAAGGATCGGCCATTTGTGTGCAACACCCGCCCCAAACGATTTTTTTTAAATTTTTTAAAAATTTTATTTTATTATGTTATGTTAATCACCATACATTACATCATTAGTTTTTGATGTAGTGTTCCATGGTTCATTATTTGCATGTAACGCCCAGTGCTCCATTCAATACATGCCCTCGTTAATACCCATCACCAGAGTAACCCATCCCCCCACACCCCTCCCTTCTAGAACCCTCAGTTTGTTTCTCAGAGTCCATCATCTCTCATGGATCAACTCCCCCTCTGATATCCCCCCCTTCATTTTTCCCTTCCTGCTATCTTCTTTTTTTTTTAACATATAATGTATTATTTGTTTCAGAGGTACAGATCTGTGATTCAACAGTCTTACACAATTCACAGCGCTCACCATAGCACATACTCTCCCCAATTCTATCACCCAGCCACCCCATCCCTCCCACCCCCCACCACTCCAGCAACCCTCAGTTTGTTTCCTGAGATTAAGAATTCCTCATATTGGGGCACCTGGGTGGCTCAGTCGGTTAAGTGTCTGCCTTCGGCTCAGGTCATGATCCCAGGGTCCTGGGATCAAGCCCCGCATCAGGCTCCCTGCTCGGCAGGAAGCTGCTTCTCCCTCTCCCACTCCCCTTGCTTGTGCTCCCTCTCTCGCTGTGTCTCTCTCTGTTAAAAAAAAAAAAAGAATTCTTCATATCAGTGAGGTCATGTGATACATGTCTTTCTCTGATTGACTTATTTCACTTAGCATAATACCTTCTAGTTCCATCCACATCGTTGCAAATGGCAAGATTTTGGGGTTTTTTGATGGCTGCATAATAATCCATTGTATATATATCCCACATCTTCTTTATCCATTCATCTTTTTATGGACATCTTGGCTCTTTCCGCAGTTTGGCTATTGTGGACATTGCTGCTATAAACATTGGGGTGCACATACCCCTTCAGATCACTACATTTGTATCATTGGGGTAGTGCAATTGCTGGGTCATAGGGTAGCTCTATTTTCAACTTTTTGAGGAACCTCCGTACTGTTTTCCAGAGTGGTTGCACGAGCTTGCATTCTCACCAACAGTGTAGGAGGGTTCCCCTTTCTCTGCATCCCCGCCAACATCTGTCATTTCCTGACTTGTTAATTTTAGCCATTCTGACTGGTGTGAGGTGATATCTCATTGAGGTTTCGATTTGGATTTCCCTGATGCCGAGCAATGTTGAGCAACTTTTCATGTGTCTGTTGGCTGTTTGGAGGTCTTCTTTGGAAAAATGTCTGTTCATGTCTTTTGCCCATTTCTTGATTGGATTATTTGTTCTTTGGGTGTTGAGTTTGATAAGTTCTTTATAGATTTTGGATACTAGCCCTTTCTAAGGAAGGAGAAAGAAAGGAAACTGAACCAGGCCAACATGTTGACACTTTGTCTCACCTGACAGCTTAAATAAATATGCCAGTTCTAGCCTCTCCTTTTGTTGCCAATGCAACAACCACATGCACTTTGCACAAGTCTAGAAACAGAAGCCAGAGTTTCTGGCCATTGCTTAAACTTGTAACCTTTCCAAGCTTGCCCCAGGGCAGATATCTATTGAGCAGACAGGATGGTGAAATTTCCCAAGGAAGCCTTTGGCTAGAACAACAAACAGGGCCACCCGAGAAGTTGGTTCCAGGTATAAATGCCCTGCTAGCATTGAGCTGCGTGTGGGGAGGGGGGAGCCCCAGCACTCCGCACTGCTCTGGGAAGGCTGGATAAGGAAGAGCACAAAGGGGACCAAAGCTGTAGGCAGGTCCAACTTGGGCCAGAGGCCTTTTTGGATTTAAAGGACAGGAAGAGGGATAGAAAGGATTATAATAGTGAGACCACCCGATTACTTAGACTGGTTCAGGGATCTACACTTGGGCAGGCTTGGAAATTCGGTTTTATCAAAGAACATGCACTGATTTGGGCCATTATCAATCTTCTGGGTGTTGTCCATTTGCCTTTCAGTCTCCACCCCTTCTTACCCTGTTCTGCGTTCTCGCAGGCTGGCAGCGTGAACCAATTCCACAGAATCCTCGATCCTCTGGCTTTGGTTCGACTTTGACCAATTGGAGGTCCTGGCAGGAGATCACTGTGTAGCAAAGGAAGGCAGTCAGGAAGGTTATTTCTCCAGTGTTCCACCTTCAGGGTGGCTGCGGGTTAGCCATGTTGCTCTGTTGAAGGCCCAGCTTGCCTGGGCCACCTTCCTCCCTACAGGGCCCCTCCCTGGGTTCCAGAAACTGTTTTTTCTTGTCCCTTCAAGAGGACAAGAGGAGGCCTAAGAGTTTCCCCCTATTATTAATGCAGAACACTGCCCTCCCTATTCCTTGCAGATTTTCCACACCTTGTAAATCGCCACATATCAAACTCTCCTTAAAATATCTCATCTCATGTGCGACTCAGAACGCTTGTGAGATTCACTCAACCTGACACTCAATCAACATCCGTCAACTGACAGCACGGAAATTAAGATGAGAATAACTGTCCCTGAGGTAAGTTTATATGCTCCCTATGATTTATCCTCTAACTTTATTAGTTTGGATGGTTGCAAAGACAACTTTCAAAAGCTCTTAATTTTATCCTGTGTGTGATGCCTCAAATTTGAATAAGCTGCCTTCAGATGGATGGTTGTACTGGGTAATAATCTTGTTAAGCATGCGCTTGCTTTTTTTTTAACTCAATTGTGTGAGAATGTAAAACTAAACTGTATTAGAACAGTAAGATATTGGGGCACCACCTGGGTGGCTCAGTTGTTAGGCGTTTGCCATCGGCTTGGGTCATGATCCTGGGGTCCTGGGATGGAGCCCCACATCGGGGCTCCCTGCTCAGCGGGAAGCCTGCTTCTCCCTCTGCCTCTTCTCCCTCTTCTCAGTGTGCTGCCCCTCCCCCACTTGTGTGCACACGTCTCTTTCTCTTTCTCTCTCAAATTAAGTAAAATCTTAAAAAGAAAGTAAGGTATTAAGAATGACTAAATATTAATAGGCTCTAGTGCAGTGATTCAGAGAACAGATTTTTTTTTGGTAAAGATTTTTTATTTATTTATTGGCGATCGAGCGAGGGAGAAACAGCATGAGAGGGGAGAGAGTCAGAGGGAGAAGCAGGCTCCCCACTGAGCTGGGAGCCCGATGTGGGACTCGATCCCGGGACTCCGGGATCACGACCTGAGCCGAAGGCAGTCACTCAACCACCTGAGCCACCCAGGCGCCCAGAGAACAGATTTTAAAGGCAGGCATCTAGGGATTTGAATCTACCACCTATTGGCTGTGTGTCCTTTGGAAAGCTACTTAATTTCTCTTAGTCTTGTTTTCATTCATTAAATAGTCAAAATAACTGTACCTACTCCTTATGGTTGTTGTGAAGGGTAAATGAAATAATATACATAAAATATGGGTACAGGGAGCACTTAAAAATGGCAGATATTATTACCATTATTAAAATGTTGTTAAAATAATGATGTACTTGAAAGTAAGTTATCTCATCAGGTTTTTATGAAGGTTAAGTGAGCAAATATCTTTAACGTGCTTAGAACAGTTCCTGGCACATATCTAAAAGCTATATGAGTGTTAATTAATACTTAAATAATATTTAAGTGTAAACACCTAGGTATAATTTGATTCCTTTCTTTCTGCCTTTTAATTATTCTCTGTCTCCTCTCAAACTACTTTTGGATTTCTCTCCAGGCTTAAATAGAAAAGAACCTTCTAACTTTATCCTTAAGTTTCTCTTGGAGTCAGAAACCTTCCCGAGCACATGCATACTTGTTTCAAGTTCTGATTTTTAAGCCTCGGGTCAGTTTAGGGTCAAAAGTGATTTCAAGCAAGCTTTTTTGAATATTTAATTCCTCACACTCCTGAATGAGATTTTAGCTCTTTTCAACAGGGAAGGGGAAAGGGGGCGGGTTTGTTTCCTATGACTCCCTCCCGGGGTTTAATCTGCTGGTGCAGCTAACAGAACTCAGAAAAACAATTTACTTGTAGATTTCTTACACAGGCTATTAAAGGATACAAATGAAGGGCCAGATGAAGAGATACATAGGCTAAGGTCTGGAAGCGTTCTGAGCACAGGAGTTTCTGTCTGGGCGGAGTATGGGATGTACATCTAGAACATTGATGAGTTCTTGTGCATCAACCCAGAAGCCCTCCAAACCCCATCCTTTTGGGTGTTTATGGAGGCTTCCTTACATAGGCAAGATTGATTAAATCATTAGCCATTGGTGATTCAACCTCCCACCCTTCTCCCCTCCCCCGGAGGTCAGGGGGTTGAGGCTGAAAGTTCCAAGCCTCTAATCACTATGGTTCCTTCTCCTGGCAACCAGCTCAAATCCTTAGAGGGTTTCCCAGCTCACCTCATTAACATAAACTCAGGTATGGTTTAAAGCTTGTTAGGAAGAAAAAAATACACCTTTGCCTCTCTTATGACTTACGAAATTCCAAGGGTATTAGGAGCTCTATATGCCAGAAACGAGGACGAAGACCAAATATATGTTTTTTGTTCTAAAGCACAATATTACATTTCTATAACCAAGAAGGCCAAGAGGTGACCTGAGTTCAAACCCAGCTGGATCCAGCAGGTTCAAATGACAGCATAAGGACTGTGGTTTTCACCACCTCTTAGTTCTACAGGCAGCGAGTTCTGTTGGCTCCAGACAGATTTTCTCCAGGTGACAGCGAAGATGATCACTAGTTACTCCTGGTGTATATCATCCTTAGACGTAAAGAGAAAAGAGAGAACCTTCTCTCCCTAGCATATCATTCAGTCCATATCAATTCCTGAAGAGGACCCTGGTGAGGTCACATTTCCATTTGTCTGCATCCAGGACAGTGAGCATTCTGATGGTTCAGCTGGAGGCAGGGGTCCCGAATAGTCACATGGTATGGGGAAAGGGCCTTTCTCAGAAGGAAGGCTTGGTGAGCAGCATAGCCCCTGACTCCATTTGGCTGGAATGTTCTTCTAAACTCTCCAGTGCCAAGCTGTTTGAATACCCATAGTTAGATGTACATTCCGTTTTGGGAAAAAGAGCACTGCGGGTTTGATGATATCGAGACAGGTCAGAGGTCATCCTCTCCTCCCAGACCCTCTTTGTACTTCACGGTGCACCACTGGTTGATGATGATAATCTATCTAGCAATTTCAATCTCAATGAAAAAAAAAATGTAAGGGTCACTCCGTTGCACCATCTCCCCAGTTTACCCTCCTGCCTCCCCAGATAGTAGCTAAAGACACACCTGTGAGACCAAAAAGGAAAGTGTCTCCACACAGATTAAGTCATGAACAACAGACATGTTTATTCTTTCATACTCTCAGTTCCCCAATCTGTTTTTTTTCTTTCCGTTGGGGTAGAGCCAAAAAGACAGAATGAAAAGACACCCCCAATATATATTCATCATTCCTCTATGACAACCCCATGATGTCTCCTTATTCTTCAGTGAGGGGGTTTTTCTGACCGCTGGCTTTTATAATTCATCCAGTAGGTAGTTTCAATTTGATGATCAATTTTTTAAAAATAACTTTTTTGGCCCCCTGACATTTCAGCCATTTAAATAGAACATAATGGAATTTTCCAAAGAAATAAATGGTGATTTCTTTATACAGCGTCTCACATTCAAACACATTTGCATGTATGGTCCACCTGAAAAACTACAACTAACGATCTTACACATGAGATTCTCCTTTTCCTCTTCCCAGAATCCCTGTCCTCCTCATATCAATACTCTTTCAAAACCTCATATAAAAGTCTTCCTTCCAGGAAGCCTTCCTTGACTAATCAGTCACTCCCAGTGATTGGAGATACAGTTCCAATTAGGTTCACCTTCTCTTGTTCGTATATGGATTCAACTGGAGATACAGTTCCAATTAGCTTCTCCTTCTCTTGTTCATATATGGATTCAAAGTTTCAAGAGTCTTAAGTTGTGAGTATATATAGGTTCCACTTTTCCAAGCAGGCAACAACTGTGTCCCTATAACCATCCCCTTATCCACAAGATTGCTTGAAGCAAAGACAATGGAGGAACTTATTCACTGGTATAGTGAAAGATCCTGGGCCCTGCAAAATGCCTGAAGTGGTGAAGATCCAGCTCTGTTATTTACCAACTGTACAGGGAAAAGGATCAATATGTAAAAGCTTAATTTTCTTACATGAAAAGGTGATAATAAAGTCTTGGGGATTTGTGTGATAATGAAATAGGTTATATATTCAAAAACTTTTAGGGATGCTTGTGGATCCTTCAAAAACTATTTGTTTCCTTAGTGATGTGATTGAAGGAGCTACTGAGGCTGTGAAATAACTTTCTCATTTGTTGCTGATGTTCGAACATCTTTCCAGAAGACAAAATCCTTTATGCCAAATTAGAAATAAGAATAAAATGGCAAATGATCTTGGAGCAAGGAGCAATAAACTTAAATACGTGCTTAATCCATGGCCACACATTCCATCTCTGCTCTTTCCCTCACGGGATTGCACACCGTGAACTGGTCAAAGTAAAATGTCCCACTCAGCCTGTGGCGCACCTCAGAGTCCCCAACACAGGACTCCTGACAGACGTTAGCAGTTGATTGGAGTGTGTCCACTCATGCTAACACGTACATCATTGAGACCAGCTACGTTCAGAAGGGCAGGGTTTGATTTGAGGAAGAGAATTAAGGAACACGCATTGCTCGATGTAGAGGTAAGAAAGAGCACCAGGGGAGAAAAAAGCACAAGTTCTCTGGCCTGATAGAGTTTCTGAAATGTTACTATTGGGGCGCCTTGGGTGGCTCTGTCGTTAAGAGTCTGCCTTCGGCTCAGGTCATGATCCCAGGGTCCTGGGATCGAGCCCCGGATCAGGCTCCCTGCCCAGCGGGAAGCCTGCTTGCGTTCCCTCTCTTGCTGTGTCTCTGTCAAATAAATAAATAAAATCTTTAAAAAAAAATGTTACTATTATCCAGAGAGGTATTCCTCAGGGCCCAGTTGAAAGGATTGCGTCATGGACTATTAAGTAAACTAATAATTAATAGTGAAGTACTTGAAGTAACAGAAATGGGAAGGTTGCAGGCCAGAATAAACTTGGGCTTCTCAAAAGGTTGCAGGAAACCAGCAGGGCGAGAGAAAAGTGAACTGGGTGGGGAGTGGGGATGGGAATGGGTGACAAAGGATGAATTTGAACGGCTGGCAGGGCCAGATCGCACAGAATTCTGGGACCTATAATGGGAAATTTGGATAGACATTCAAGGGCTTCTAGGTTAGTTACATGATCTTAGATAATTTTTAAACACCATCTCTGGTTACTGTGGGCAAATTGCGTGGGGGCGGAGGTGGGGATGGGTTAGGAATTCAATAGGAGACATAGATTAGGAGGTTCAGTGAAAGATGATAGTGGTTTAGTCTGAGCAACATGTGTTCTGAAGTTAAACTGTAGGACTTGCTGATGGACCCAGCCCGGGGGACCGGGAGAAGAGAGGAACCATGACTCCTGGTTTCTGGACGGTAGTGCCGCTTATCCAGATGAGTGCTAAC